ACTGTTTTCAGAGTGCAGACACTGAAGCATACACATACAGAAAGCGCGTCTCACAGTGCGCGAGTACTCTCTCGAGTCGCATGAACGGAGAATTACACACAAAATGATGTTGAATTGTCCGTTTTGACGAGTATTCACGGTAACAGTTGATTACGTCTTAAGTGAAGGTAAACAGCAGGGAGAACATGTATCAGTACACTGCATGCACTGCAGCTGTGCATTTGGTTTTAAAGGGACAGCAGCCTAATTTAGTTACTATTGTCCGAGTCATTGATGTTAATCAAGCAACAAAAGAAAGACAGAAAATCACTCAGTGGTTTTATTTAATTTTAACACAAAGGAATGTTGTGTGTCACCGCAGTTAAATCAGTGTCTATCATGATAAAACCTTTATATCAAACCTATATAATGAGTTTGGACATTTTAGAGAAATGCTTAATAAATGCACTGTAACTAAACCCATTAGATTTTAGTGGACTAAATTTACTGTAGATTTAGTCGACTAAAATCTTATGATATTTAGTCGACTAAAACTAGACTAAAACTAAAAACAATTCAGATGACTAAAATATGACTAAAACTAAATCAAAATTTGCTGTCAGAATTAACACTGCTTTGACTAAAGATTTGTCTGGTCGACTAGTAGCCGGTCATTTGAAGCATTAGTCGACTAATCGCATGTTTTTTAATAACCCGTTTAAATCATGATAATGCGCCTTTAATTGCCTACATAGCCTAATAAGCGCTCAAGCGCAGGCATAAAGCTTGCCACAGCACACCAGTAGAAATAATGATCATGAATGTATCAGGGAAAAACTGTAAGGAGCATACCTGCAAACTCACAAGAGGTCAAAAAGGTGACATAGTATGGAATATGACCCTTGTAGGGGGGTCTGGGGGCATCCCCCGCCAGAAGAACATTTTTGAGAATTTAACATGTAAATGAAGCATTCTGGTGCACTCTGACGACAAAATAAAGGAAAAAGACAACATATGCTTCAAGTAAAAAAAGCACATTTATACCACAAACATTTTGGACAGTGCAACTCTGTTGTCATCGCCGGTGTTCATACTTCTCTTTGTGAGCAGTGGAGTCATTTATTTTTGCAAATTTTAATGTTCGCATTAGAGTGCGCATACTATCAACAAACTCCATATTTTCACTGCAGAGGAAACAGAAGCTGCATCTGAAGTGGCATTAGATGTATTTATACATACTGTTTAATGAGCTGAGGTGCCATAAATGCATTTACACCACAAAATTTCAAATGCATAAATAATTTTATAAGAGTAATGTTTTAAATATTTTTGAATATACAAGTTAAAAATCTTGGGAAACATGCAATACTTTTAAATATGAAACCAAACCACCAGTAGATGACGGTAAAGGACTGTTTTAATGAGTGAGTCATTAGTCATTCATTCAAACGGCTGATTCATTCAAAAACGAGTGACTACTGTCTTTATGAATGGGTTACTGAATCATTGACTCACTTGATTTGTTCAAAAACGTGGATTCATTCAGTATCGAAACACCGCTGTGTTGCTGGGAGACACAACAGTTCTGCTGTGGCTTTGACTGAAACTTCGTCAGCGAACTTGAGTAAAAACAGTCAATATTGTATCTGTTTAACTCACAATGAAGAACTTCCACGCCGACGACACGTTTACATGCAGATGTGAGCGTAAGTTTGCCGTCAAAACGGAGCGGCTGTGAGATGAGGTGTGTTGGATTAGAAGCAGCGGAGCGCAGACCAATCGCACATCAAACTACCACGAGAGTGATTCAAAAGCATGCGGAGCCATCTGCTCTCTGTAGCTCTCGCGGTGCTTTGATGTCATACAGCGATCGGTCTGCGCAAGTCGAACCGAGAAAGGGACTTTTGTCGAACACACTCCTGTCTACGAGCTTGCAATCTCTCTCTCTCTGCCCAGAACTAGGTCCGAACTAGGGTTGTGACGGTGAGGAAATTTTCCCACCGGTTAATCGACGTGTGACAACACCGGAAATACCGGTATCACCGTGGGGGCGGGGCATTCCCTCTTTTCCTCGCGTATCACCGTCAGCACCGTCTATCACGGCAAGCCTAGTCCGAACTGCAGTTCGTTTGCGTCATCAAGTCAGCAGCTGTTTACCCCGTTGCTTAGTAACGATGGCGCAGGAGAAGACGACAAAATGCGTAGCAAGGCTCTCTTCAACTTTATATTTATGTTTTTGAACCGTTGGTTTTGTTTCCAAAGCTTCAGTACATAACGGCACTTACGTCTGCCTTACGCACTTTCAAATAGCGGCAATTCGGAGTAAAGGAATTGTTCGTTTTTAGTTTGTTTAAATTTCCCCTCTTTTCCTTGCTTTCCTTCACTTTTGAATAGCTTAAAAGCGCAGTGCGCATTTTACTTTCACTTTCGAATTAGCGGCAGTTCGGCGTCAACTGCTTGAATGCAACAATAAAATACAACGTCAAATTCACTTTAGCGTATATATAAAACATATAACTTTTATTAACAAAACAAATAAAAAGACACCATGCTATAGGGCAGGCTATGCCTAATATAAAATAACAAATAACTTAACATAAATAACAAAGTTTAAATAGGCATACAAAACTGGAAATAGGTAAACATGTATAATATATAACCAAATAAAAAAGAAACGTACAACGTTTATTAGCAAAATTAGTAAGAAAGCTTGGAGGCACGGCATACACCTTGATGTAAAAAATAAATAAATAAATGACACAAAGTTTAAATAAAGTAAAAATCAGCAAACAATGTGGAACCAATTAAATAAGAAACGAATGTTTAAAAAAACTTCCAAAATCAGAAAAACGGCAAAAGTCAACAGGCTTTTCAAAATCCAAAATATTGCCAAACAGGCGCTTTTGCGTTGTTATTGTGAGTGCACACAAATAAACGTAGAGTCTTTACAGCTTCGAAAGATGTATTACTCTTAAATGAGAATTTTAGGAGCAAGTGAGCGCTCCGGCGCCTCCATCTGTCCTGCAGTGAGCGCGCTACTGTTCAGCTTCAACACTCCACACAGACACTTCAAAAGCACACAGTTTTTAGGTTAACATTAGATTGAGTGGCCATGTAAAGTTGCTGCTACTAACATATTTGAGGTCAATGAATGTATTACCACAAAGACCAGCTGTTAACGATCTGTCCGTCACGAACGGCATGACCTCACCACTTCCAGCAGATTTTTACATTTTTGTAATTAATTTTGTAATTTGCAACTAAGCAACTAATAAAATATTGGTCGACCAAGCCTCTTCTCTTCGACTAATGGTTAGTCGACTATTAGGGGGCAGCCCTGAAGATCAGAGATGCCCTCGATAGTGGTGTGCGATGTTGACAAAAAATTATATCGCAATATTTTTGATAACGATATTTAAAGAGGACCTATTATGCAAAAATCACTTTTATAAGGTGTTTGAACACAGTTGAGTGGCCGCAGTGTGTGAAAACAACCAGCCCGTAATGGTAAAAATCCACCCACTCATTTTTTTTTATAATCCCAATAAATCATAAACAGTCTCTCAGAACAAACGATTCCAGATTTCTCCCTACGTTGACATCATTATAGGGAGAAAGTCCCGCCCATTTGTGACGCTCTCTGCCCTATTAACATAGACAGAGGCCTGAGTGAGAAGCAGCAGTCCACCATTAATGTTTTCTTGCTGGAGATATACAATGTCAGTGCTAAAGAGGCACTACAATTGTTGTTTTGGGATGCGCCAATGAACATAGGAGTCTCCATAGACTCCCTCCATCTGAGCCGCTGAGGTTCCAAAACTATTTTCATTGGCAAAACAGAAAGAAACAGAAAATATTGTGTCTAAAATTAAAACGCAATATTAACTTCTTGTTTTTGAACTGCTGTATAAAAAAAAAAAATAGCTGATTTGCAATCACGCTCATGCGCTGATATTTGGAACAATGGCACTCTTGCTTGTGTGATATTAATTATATCATATCTTAAAAATATTTTTTAAAGCATACATGGATATTATTGCTTTCATAACTTGAATTACGGGGCATTATAACTGCATTCTAATAAGCTTCATCACAGTCAATGCTTTTGGACTCAATAAGTGTTTTTGGGTTTTTTTAATTGCAAAGTGAATAACACTCGATAATGTCAGTTCGTACAACAATAACAATATTATTTCTTTTCTCTGCTCACTTCTGGACGACTGCTGCTTCTCAAGCTGTAGGTCTATTGTTGCAAAGCACAGCATTCCAGCTTTGTGAATATTAATATCTCGATAACATGAGTCCAAACCAGTGAAATATGATTTTCAAACCCATGCTGATGAAAACAAAACGATCGTGCTGACTGACATTTGCAAAGCGCATGCATACGACGCGCGATCTCCCTATAAAGTACATTATTGAGAAATATGTCTTGGCAAGATTCACACAAACATATTCTGTTATGTCTTACATGAACGTTTAGTTAACGGTTGGAGAAAAATCTGATGTGGAACGTTATATTAGATCCATGCATTACAGTAGGTCTCAACATAGATCTGTCTCAATGTTAATCAAACATTAAAAGAAAAGACGGAATCACTCGCTGCTCTTGATTAAACTACTGTTCATTTGCATCTTTGTTCTTATTTTTAATAACAAAGATAAAATAAAAAATAGCAATATTGTGATTAATAATATAGTAATTATTATTAAGAAAAGAACTGGAGGGAAATATGCAACGTTGCTAAGTGATTTTGCTTTGGAATATTTAACTCTATTTTTCTCAAAATCAACTCTTGCTGACTCCATCGCCTTCAAACGGCTGTAGCTCAATAATTTTTTGTCCGATTTCAACAAGTCGTATCATTTTGAAGGTATTTTAATGGAGAAAGTAGAATAAAAATAAAAATAACTCATTTTTGAAAATTTGCTCATTTTGCCAGCATATATGCAGATTGCATGCGGTTGCTAAGGAGAAATGTGTGGTTACAGCGTGTTCTGAGTTGTTTCTAGGCATAATTTGAGGAATCGCTCACATCTGCAACACAAACTCTCTCAGGATCGGCGTCTGTACCTGCGCCTGTCGGAACATGCCGGGCTGGTATTCGTCCAGCCAGTCGACGTGCCACACCAGCAGCGATCCGTCCATCGGGTGGATACTAAACAGCATGTCTGCTGCTCTGTTCCAGTCACTCAGCAGCACATCCACAAGATGATCCACCGCCACCGCAGGGAGAGAGACGGAGCCCAGAGCCGCAGCATCAGCACCGCTCCCCTCCTCATCAGCATCTGCTCAGAACAGAGAGATTTCAGCTTCATATGATCCTCACATGCGGTTCACACAGGTCTATTACTGTAGAAATGCCACCAATAAAACTGCAAACACATAGACAGTGACTTTTATTTTTTAAGTAGAACAGTAAAGAAGATTTTTAGCTCAAACCGTGCTCCTTGGTGATTCATATAATGCAAGTCAATGGTTACCGGCTCTTTGAGAAAAAAACATTTTTTTTATACCATTGATCATAATATCCGACTTTCCCGGTTGGAACATAGTTGTCAGCATTAAGGGTACTGCTTTGGAGTGCTTCAGGTCCTATCTAACAGACAGGACTTTTTCTGTCCGCCTTGATGACTTTGTTTCCTCATCAGCTCCCCTTCCATTTGGAGTTCCTCAAGGCTCTATCCTGGGCCCTATGCTGTTTTCCCTGTATATGCTCCCATTTGGGTCTATTCTCAGGAAATATAATATTTCGTTTCACTGTTATGCAGATGACACACAAATTTATCTGCCACTGAAACGGGAACATGCCAGTTATTTGCAACTTCTTTTTGATTGCCTCAGAGACATTATTAAAGATTGGATGTAATTTTTTTACATTTTAATGAGAGCAAGACTGAAATTATGATATTTGGCCCAAACAAGGTCTCTAACATTGATCTGGGCCCTTTGCTTCCACGTGTTAAATCCACTGTTAAAAACCTGGGTGTAATATTGGATATGGATTTTAAACTTGACAAACAGAACAACTCTGCAGTAAAGTCAAGTTTTTATCAGTTAAGGCTTTTATCTAAAGTTAGGAATTTTTTGTCATTTAATGATTTTGAAAGGCTTATACATGTTTTTGTCACAAGGTGGCAACACTGGCCCAGGCCATCCGAAAAAGAAAAGAAAGAGACACAACAACAAAAACAACAATCTACGGAGACCGCAACATAAATAGATGGCAGCGTTGACAAGCGTTTATGAGAGAGTTATGAGATATCCACAACTCTAGTTTAACCGAGTTTAAAGACAGTGTTATCGGTCATAACTTCTGGCAACAAATAGCACAAACACTGGACAAAAATTATCATCAAATGAGGTAACGTTTAGTTTGAAAGGCTGCGCGGTCGGCTGTACACATACGCTGAGACAGCTTCAGACAGCGCGCCAGTAGCACTTCAACTTACAAAAACACACACAATTATGTCAAAATGCACGGTTTTGGTGAGTTACCTCGTAAACGTAGTCTTAACTGAGTTACAAAGTCTTAAATGACCATAAAAAGTTTGGAGAAAATCGGATGCGTGTCAAATCCGCGTCATGTGCATCAGGTTTCAAAGAGACAGCGCTGCTTAGTAAAACCGGCTGAAGTCTTTCATGATGTAAATCAAAGAACAAAAGAAAAAGAGAAATCACTTGACTGCTCTAGTCGCTGATTAACTTTTGTAGCTTGAATAAAAATTAACCAATGTAGTTTATGCATATACAATTTATAGTTTATGTGAAGATTGTTTTAAAATCACTTAAATTAAAAGTTGTTATATAGTTCAGGGCCTATTAAATGTTAAAAACAATGGCTTTCAATTATACTGTAATGTTGAATGGCTATAACTAATAGGTAAAATTGAGGGTAAATGCATTTAATATACAAACCCGATTCCAAAAAAGTTGGGACACTGTACAAATTGTGAGTAAAAAAGGAATGGAATAATTTACAAATCTCATAAACTTATATTTTATTCACAATAGAATATAGATAACATATCAAATGTTGAAAGTGAGACATTTTGAAATGTCATGCCAAATATTGGCTCATTTTGGATTTCATGAGAGCTACACATTCCAAAAAAGTTGGGACAGGTAGCAATAAGAGGCCGGAAAAGTTAAATGTACATATAAGGAACAGCTGGAGGACCAATTTGCAACTTATTAGGTCAATTGGCAACATGATTGGGTATAAAAAGAGCCTCTCAGAGTGGCAGTGTCTCTCAGAAGTCAAGATGGGCAGAGGATCACCAATTCCCCCAATGCTGCAGCGAAAAATAGTGGAGCATTATCAGAAAGGAGTTTCTCAGAGAAAAATTGCAAAGAGTTTGAAGTTATCATCATCTACAGTGCATAATATCATCCAAAGATTCAGAGAATCTTCACAATTTGTACAGTGTCCCAACTTTTTTGGAATCGGGTTTGTAGACACCAGTAGCAGTATTGGTATCAATTCTTCATTAATAACAGGCTACTTAGTAAAAAGATGCCATTAAACACGTATTTAAAATATACTATCTTTATGTTGTTTCTACATTAATTTGGAGGTTCACTTGAAAAAAAAACAAATCAGGCAACACAGAATTAATACACACGGCTCCTGATGATATGAAGTGAAACGATCAGTCTGTGCAAGAAACTGAACATTATTTACAGCATTATTACCTGTAATCCAGAGCCTCAGACAAAGCATCCAGAATGATGTCCGGTTCACGAACGAATCATTATTCTGAATTGGCTCTTTTTAGTGAACTAGTTGAACCAGTTCATCAAATCGTCTGAATCAGTTCGCGGCTCGAGCAGCACAGATCTACAAGTTACTCGATCAAAACTCACTTCCAGACGCCTGACAGTCACTGCGACTGGAAATGAGCTGAAACATCTGCGTATCTGATCCTGTGATGAATGAACGGATTCAGCTCCAGTTCCTCCAGCAGTCACTGAACCGAGGAAACAGTTCAACTCGGACCGAAGACCGATGAGCCGCTGCTATGAGCATGTGTGAACCGAGAGCTCGAATGAAGGGCTGAAATGAACGTTTTCATGGTTTCTCATGGTTTATGTAAAAAGCTGAGCTGATGAAGACTAGTTTATTGACTTTATATGCTTTAAACTATAAAACATCCACGTTTCACATTATTATTGGCTGCTTTAATAATATAATTGCGTATACGTGATGTCATTGTGTGATTACATAAACAAACTAATGAATTAAACCAGTTCATTGAAACGAACTAACCAACAGAACCAGTTAATGGACAAGAATCAGATTTACACATTTGCCTGGGGCTCTGGATTACAGATAATAATGTCATAAATAATGTTCAGTTTCTTGCACAGACCGATCGTTTCACTTCTTAAGACATCAATATATCATCAGGAGCCACAGGGATTCATATTGTGTTCCTTGATATGCTTTTTTTATACTCAAAGTGCCGGTACCCATTGACTTGCATGTTATGAGTCACCAAGGAGCACGGGTTCAGCTGAAGAAAACGAGTCACCTACATCTTGGATGGCCTGAGAGTTAGTAAATTAACAGCAAACTTGCCCCTTTTAGACTTTTAGACTCTATTCATTTACTAACTGCTTCTCTAATCTTTTTGTATTCTATCTGTTTTCTTTTTATTTATTATACAATTAACACAATGCAAAAAAAGGCCTCTAACACTATCTTGCTCTATTCTTTATTCTGTTTTCTTTCTTTTTTTCTATTCTGTTTTCTCTATTTATTATATAATACAAAATAATAAACCTTGCTACGTGTACTGTGTTAGGCTAACTGAGACTTGTTATAGCACATATCATTGCTCTTTTGTTGATTCTGATAGCTTCTATTGTCCTCATTTGTAAATCGCTTTGGATAAAAGCATCTGCTAAATGACTAAATGTAACTGTCCCTTTAATAAATGGTTCTGCCTCATCTTGGTTCACATCCTGCTCTGAATGCTCACATTAGTGTCACTCTCACATAACGTAAATCAGTCCTGTCCTCTGATATATGGCTGAGATGATGCACACGGTACCGTAGCGCTCTGTGGGTCCGTTCTGCTCGCCGCTGCTCCTCAGCTGCTGTAGAAACACCTCCATGCTCAGCGTCAGGTGCAGCTCTTTGTTGTTGAGCCAGTGAACGGTGAAAGGGCCGCCCGGTTCCTCCTCATCAGAGCCGTTCATGGACGAGATGGAGGGCAGCAGAGGGATGTCTGCACACAAGCATCACCATCACATTTACATTATCTGTCTTCAAACAGACAAAAGACTCTGCTTTCTGCAAAACTAAATTCAAATTTTGCACTTAAATATTATCAATATTTGAATTTAAAAGACAATTTCAGTTAGGGGGAAACAAAGCTCTTGGCTTCTCTCCTGAGGCCACAAGAAGGCGCATCGAGCAAAATATTGCTAATACACGTTTATTAAATCAATAAATCAACATGACTATCTGTGAAAAAGTGCGTAACCTTCATAAACCAAATATAATTAAGTTGCTTAAACAATTACAAACAAAACAGCATTATGTATGCATAGTTTACACTACAAAAAATGATTTTCTTATTTAGTATTTTTGTCTTGTTTTCTAGTATAAATATCGTCTCGGTTAAGATGATACGTAAGGAACCTGATGACCAGGTTATGCGACGGGAGCGTAGACAGCCTTGGTGGTTGATGTACGCAACGGTCGCAGTATTGTCCGTCCGGACCAGTACGTGCTTGTCGTGTAGCAGCGATTTGAAGAGGCGCAGAGCAAGCCATACTGCTAGCAACTCGAGGCAGTTGATATACCACTCCGGGGGAAGGAGTGGTGCAGTCACCATCTCCTGAAGAGCAGGATCCAGAGTCTCCGGGTCGCCCGTCTCAGGGACGCCGCTTGCTGCGCCGCTATCCTGCTGCCAGCTCCACGCAGCGTCCGGTGTGAAGGCTACTGCTGGGGCCGAGCTGGAGCAGAGGTGGAGGCAGCAGAAGGGCGCAGGGGCAGGCGGAGGAGCTGCAGCCGGTGGCGGGGGGTTGACAGCAGCGGGCCGCCGGGGCAGGATGTGCTTAATTGCCTCCGTCTGCTTCTGTGTGGCGGAGAACTGCTGGGCGTTCCTGGACCACCAAGGTGGACATCGTCTGACCCAGGGACCGCACCGTGACTTTCGTCGCCCGTAGGGCAGTGCACAGCTCCAGCATCACACCCGGGTCAGAACTACCCTCGTGCAGCTGCTTCAATGCCTTGGCCTGGAAGACTTGCAGGAGGGCCATGGCGTGCAGGGCGGAGGCAGCATGTCCAGCAGCTCTGTAAGCCTTGGCTGTTAGAGCGGACGAGAACTTACAAGCTCTGGACGGGAGGCGTGGATTACCCTGCCAGGCAGCAGTGCTCTGCGGGCAAAGCTGCATCGCAATAGCGCGCTCGACTGGGGGGGATCTCCACATACACCTTAGCCGCCCCGCCGTTGAGGGTAGTGAGGACGGAAGAGGCACTAGCTCTGTTTCAGGAAGAAAAAGATGCCCTCAAAGACCTAGTAACCTCTTCATGCACCTCCAGGAAGAATGGAACTGGAGGTGGACGCCGAGGATCGGCGTACGGCACCCCCAGGAACCAATCATCCAGCCTCGAGCGCTCCAGAGATGGAGGGGGTTTCCATTGCAACCCGACACTCTCAGCAGCCCGGGAAAGCATAGCAGTCAGCTCTGGATCTGACTCGGGCAATGCCACCTTCCCTGACGGAGGCAAAGCAGCCGAGTCTTCATCTCCAAAGCCTAGCTCATCTTCCGATGCAGTGATCGACTGTCGTCCGCCGGGGCTACGAACGAGATGCTAGGCCCCGCCTCCAGGGGCTCAGCAGTCTCATCACGGAACACCACGGGGTGCGATGTGCTGGAGGAGTGAGGGGCCCGCGGAGATGCACTCAGTGGGGAAGCCCTCACTGTAATCCTCAGATCACCCTGACCATATGCCGAAGTAGTCCTCCGCTGCTGTGAGACAGAGGAACTTGATCGGGGCATAGCAAGGGAGACTCCCCCTCGTTTCATGAAGAGGAGCCTCGATCGCGACATCGCGATGGTCATGTTCCCGCAATGAGAACATGAATCTCCCACGAGCGCTGCCTCAGCGTGCTCAAAGCCCAGGCACGAGATGCAGCGATCGTGACCATCAGATGGAGCCAGGAAGCCAGGAATCATCTTGATTCAAGAATGTTTAGATATTTATACTAGAAAACAAGACAAAAACACTAAGTAAAAGAATCATTCTTTGGTCTCACCTCCAGCGGGTTCTGGTTCTGCGCTCGGGTGTTGCTGGAGCTCTTCTTCATGCTGTTATTCTTCATCACGTCATTGCTGCAGTGATTGTGTCTGAGTCCAGACAGAAGACAGTCGCTGGGCAGCAGTGTTTCGGCCCACAGGCGACACACGCTGTCCTTGCAGCAGGTCAGCAGCACGTTACACACGGCACCTCTGGAAGTAGTAGTATATTTTTATTTAATGCCATGTCAGCATCTTAAGCTATTTTCATGGCAAAAACAATTCAAAAAATACAAGTGGCCTATAACAAATACAATAAAAACCAGCAAACAAACAAACAAACAAGTTATATTACACAAGATTTTTTACATTAACATATGATAAAAATTATACTAAGTGAGTTCACTTCATAAAAGAGTTTTCTACATACATAAAAAGCGGGACAGTCCAATAAAATGTGATGCAATCTAGGAAATTTTTTTACCTATTATAGTTCAAGCTGGGTTCATATAGTTATAGTTATATGCTGGGTATTATAATTATAGCTGGGTTCAAGCCATTTCCAAAACTGTTTTTATTTCGTCCATAGCTTGAACGTAACAAAAGTTATGGTTATCTGAAGTTGGCTGATTTTCAGGAACAGAATTTTGAGAAAAACTGGTTTAAAGAGAGGCAATGAAAATAAAAGCACAACAGTCAAGTATCACAAGTAAAAGTCACTTTAATGTGTTAAAGACTTATTTTAGTCACTGTACATGTTGTAAAAGATACAAATGACCCCAAGGAACACACAACACTTAAGTGTATATCTGTTCATAAAACATCACAGATTACAGCGTGCAGGCGATCTCCAATTCTTCTCCTGCTCTACTACTACGGATTTATAATACATAACCAGACACAGTTAGAACTGTAACTTATAGTTTTTTGTTCTAAACTTGTAGTTTTATTTCACGCTGTCACCGTTTGAACTAAATGAAAGTAATGCATAGCGTTAATATGAAAGTGGTGCTGGTCCATTTAAGAACGAGAGCTGTCATTGCACAAGCAGACAGGCTAACATTACCCCAAACTCTGCATGCTGTAGTTCACACAGGACTAGCGGAAAATGTGCATGGATATGCCTTTATTATATACGTTACATAGTTTATTTTGAAAGGTGAACTGTCTTTGTAGAGCTAAGGGAAAGCACCTCAGCAGCGCGTGTTAGCAAACTAGAGAAAGACACAGTCTTTTCTGCTGGCCACAATTAAATCGCTATTTTTCTGCACTAAACAAGTGAATTTGGCCAAGTTACACTACCGGTCAAAAGTTTGGGATCAGAAGGATTTGTAATGTTTTTTACAGGAGTCTCTTCTGCTCATCAAGGCTGCATTTATTTCATCAAAGATACAGGAAAAAGATGTATATTGTGAAATATTATTATGATGCATTACAAGTCTTACTGATCCCAAACTTTTGACCGGCAGTGCATTTTCAGAGATGATAGACAAGATGTTATAGAATAATAATTTAACGAAAACCCAATTTTGACCAAAAAACTGACATTCCACCTATTTTTTTGAATTTCCTGAAAACGTCCCAGCGCGACATCCGACGGGTTTTCCTAGCTCGCATCACAAATATGTTTGACAGAAAGGAGAATCTTGCAGAACATGCATTGAGTCAGTCTTGTATGACCTATGCGACATCTAGCAAATACCACTTGATCAGATCTAGTTTTACAAGAGATTAAAAATCAGTTTGAAATGTCCGGAGGGACAGAGCGGTCAGCAGGGCTCTCTACACGCCTCTACTCACCTGGGCATGTATCTGCTGGTCTTCCTCCAGGAGAAGCCGGTGACGGAGCGAGGGTGAGCCAGGTAAATGAAGGAGAAGTTGATCTCGGCTCCGGAGCGCAGGTCGAGCGGCGTGAAGAGTTTGGTGACGTCTGCTTGCCATTTACTGGTGCTGTACCACACCTTCACCAGACAGTCGTCCTGCAACAACACAATCCTTCAATAACTGTGCATTCAAGTCAGAAAGACCGTATTTAGGAGCTGAGTGAACATGTTTCAGTGGGAAACTCATAACTCTTTTTAAGCCCAGAGCTTCCAAGTTAGTGAGAAAACATGGGAGAAGCAATAGATGCAGCGTCTGTATTGATGGTAAACTTGCTGATTTATTTATCATTTTACATCAGCATCAAAGACACTTTTATCTCCATAGCCTTTGATGTTGTTTGAGATCTATATGCATGGTTGATAATGTCTTATGAGTTTGTTATTTTGAAACACGTAATGCCAATTCTATTTCATTCTGGTTTTTACTGTATTTCTGTACAGCAATTAAATGTGCTTTATGAATAAACTTGAACATGAATTATATTCATGTCGAGTAATATGATTTAAAATAGTCTTAATAACGATAATAATTCTATAAATTCTATACGATAATTTAAAAATATTATTTGTACAACTGAAAAATAAATAAATAAAAATTACACCATTTTTCAATTTAATATTGGATAAAAAATCGAATACTTTTGTAAATTTGTTTAAATATCTGATTTTTTTTTTTTTTAATTTACAATAAGACCAAGTTGCATGTACAAAATATGATTGTATTGTACAATTACAATAGAATACATTAGGGCTTCATTAGTTAACATTAGTTAACAAACTGCCAATGAAAAAATCTTCTAAACATTTGTTAATTTTAGGTAATTCCAATATTTAATAACACATTGTTAAAATCAAAAGTGCAACTGTGTTATTTAATGAGCTAACATGAACTAAGAGTTGTATTTTTTAAACAAAGATTCTATAGCAAACGTAGCTTTTGCTCAATTTGATACCAGCATATCCCTAATATATAATAATAATTTACAATTCAATTTAAATTGAATAAAAACATAAAAAGCAAAAATACACCTAATGTGCATTCTTTATTCATCATTTAATAGAAGCAAGGTTAAAAACAAAAACAATTAATTTTATGCAGAAATGGCTTATCGTTACTCACTTATGCTCCAACCAACACAACTGACCGGATTTGAAATTATATTTTCTTATTATAAACAAACAGACTCATCATATTACATGTGAGGTCATATTATATAATGCATCTCATACATATATAATGTGCACACGTCATACATGTACAAACACAAACCTGTCCTGCGGTCGCAAAAAACTCTCCATCCGGGGAGAACTTGATGAAGTGAGTGGGAGCGGCGGACCTGTGACAACCAGAGAGACTTTACTGAGAACACAAACTTAATGGTTCAATTTTAGTAATCAAAAAGCATGTCTAATTAATTGGAATCATGAAATATATTCAATTAAAGGTTTAACAAAAATTACATTTTTAGGGACTTATGAAATCCATTTTATTTTTTCTAAATTCTGTTTTTTTAGTTAAAATGAATTGAAATGAATAATATTTTTTCAGTACTTTTGACCAATTCTCGATTTTTTACGTTTTTTAACTAGTCACCTTGTAAATGTAACTACAACATGATTCAAGTAACTTTTACTTTATTAACCCTCTAGTTAACAACAATTTATTAAAGGTTTAACAAAAACGTAAATTTTAGGGACTTATGAAATCCATTTTATTTTTTCTAAATTCAGTTTTTTTAGTTAAAATGAATTGAAATGAATAATTAATTGAAATCATGAAATGCATACAATGTAACAACCATTTTTTGAACGTTTAAAAAAAATTACATTTTTATGGCCCTATGAAATTCACATTATTTTTCCCAAATTTTACTGTAATCTGTGTAAAAATTAACGTATTTATTTATTCATTCTGTGCTGTCTAGGGCTGGGCGATATGGCGAAAAATAAAAATCTTGATTTTTTTTCAGTACTTCTGACCGATTTTCGATTTTACCTTGTCACCTTGAAAATGTAACTACAACATGATTCAAGTAACTTTTACTTTATTAACCCTCTAGTTAAAGAAAATTCTATTCCGAGTGCAGCACACATGAAGTTGTCAACATGATGTAAATGTTAAACAAATCACTTGTTAAATATCTTTGCAGAAAAGATGCATGAACTACAACTACATCTTGTACAAACTTGTCTTATATTATATGTTGAGAAATAATACAAGGAAGATGCTTTAAAAAAATCTCAAAAGTCAAGGTAATTCAAAATGACTGAAGGTATAACACAAGTAACGTTAGACTATTATTAACTATAAATGTTCTGTAAAAACAATGAACAGCAGCTTTCAGTCTGTCACCATGATGCAAACATGAAATATCAGACATACAGTAGTAGTTCTTTACAGGTTTTTAATTCTGTTGCGCTGCTTTTCCATTGTTTTTTCGATGTAAACATGGACGTGTTTGACTGTTGCGCTCGCGTCTCATGCATGAAACGACTTTCTAAAAACACTGCGCTCATGTTAAAAGAAGTTCACTCCCATCTTCTTGCATGCTTCTCTTATTCCACTGCCCGCGTCGCATCTTTGTCAACACAAAAGCGCGTTCTGTGTGATATGAGCATGTCACATGTGAGCGGCTAATCACGTGCGGTTGGATCGTTCTTTTCTCTTTACTATTATCATTGGCATATTGTCAAAGTGTCTAATTCTAACGTTTGGTAATATTTCTATTCAAAGTTGCGATTCCTCGATTTCTAAAAAATAAACACATTCAAATTAATCGATAAAATCGGAAAAATCACCCAGCCCTAGTGCTGTCTATTTTATTTTATAAAACGGAGAGTTCCGGTGCTTGATTCTGATTGGCTGAGCCGTGTTCGAAGCTGTTGTAAATGACTCTACAAAGTAACATACACCTTTGTTTACGTTTGTGTGTTGCTCGGCAACCACTTTGTTGCAACCACAACTGTTTCTGAGGAGCTACATTGTTTGGTGGAAGAATACTGTTTTTATTAATATCATTACACTTTATTTGCTCCGTTTTATTTTGTGAAACCGTACTACGTATATGGAATAACCGTTTTATAAAAGCAATAATCCCCGTGAAGCCGTGGTTTACAGTGAATTTATAACAGCTTCGCGTCGTGCCTAACAACACCCCTTAGCTGTTATAAACTCACTGTAAACCACGGCTTCTTGGTGCTTATTGCTTTATTTTCTGGATTTATGATTTAATACAACTTTATCATCAAAAATGGTGGTAATCTATTTAAGGCATAAAACACTGGAGCTGCCTGACGTGTATTCAGTGATGTGATGTGATGGACGAACACTGACTTGCACTGCCAAACGCTTCTCCAGGAGCGCTGAGGAGCAGCGGGTTCGGTCTCTGCGCTGGACTGAGCGTCACACCACAGCTGCAGACACGACGAGCCCGTCAGCAGACACGAGCCTGCGCACAGCGTCAGAGAGAGAGGTCAGCGGCCCGTCGCACACAGCACAAGCACACGCTGATCTCACGTACCTGTGGGGTGCCACGTCAGGATCTGTGCGACCGACTGAAGGACGAACTGCCCGCTCTTCTGCCAGTGATAGCTCCGCTTCTGCTGAGCACAAACACACACAGCAAATCATTCACATGCATGCATCTGACAGACGCTTTTATGCATTGCATTCAAGGAATACATGCCTTCGGTTCATGCAGTCGCTGGGAATCGAACCCATGACTTTGCATTTCATGACTAGGGTTGGGCATTGATTCCGATTCTGCTTATCGATTCCCAGTTTGGATTCCAATAAAAGTCAAACATTTAGATATCAAACATATTTATTCTGTGTCTCTTTTTGCAAAACATTAAATTGCTGCTGAATAATACCATAAATAAAAACCGGACTCGATTAAGAGCTGTTTGTGTGCAAAACAGAGCGGCATTATTCTGGATAAACTGAGACTTTTTTTTAACCCCTTAACTGCCATCCCCATTTTTGAAAATTCACGAGAAAGTGCACTATCCAAACTTAAATTATTATAATTCATGAACGCTTTTGAATACAGACCTAAGGTTGGTCTCTTTCTAAAGAAGACAATTAGCAGATTATTACAGAAGTGAAATCATTTAATAAAATTCAAGTATTAAAAAGTTACACGTTTAAATTTACTGTAAAGAAAATGTATTGTACTATTTTTATTTTATTTAAAATAAATATTTTACAAATAGTTAAAAATACAAAATTGCTATAACATTAAAGCCATGTGTCTACATAAGTTGTGTTCCAAATTTGAAGTCAATATAAAAAAATTGAGGTTCATATGCAATTTTGTTTAGGTGTTATACCAAAAAAAGCCACCGGGCGCCACCCAAACTCCGTTGAATTTTTTTTTTATGCATTTCTGTCAAATCTATAAATTTCTCTCTCAATATTACATCTATCCCAAAATGACCACCAAATATGTAATCTTGAGACTCGGACCTTTCCAACAATATGTATTGTTGTCAAGATTATAAGAAGTTTTAATTCTAAAAGTCCAGAATACACACCCCCGGTCAGGGGGAGGAGACCGCTAAAGGATTTTGAAGTACAATGTCCGATTTCAAAATGGTTTTCACAGGATGAATTTTGAGATTTTAAGCTTTCAATGGTATATAACTTATGATGATTACTAAAACACGTGATAGGGAAAAATGCAACGAAATAAATACTTTTTGTGACGAAGGTCAGAACTCCTGTTATGATATGTAACTACATAATTCCTACATAATTTGTAAAAAAAAAAATGGTAAAATATCTATTTAGGAGTCTTAGACTTTTCCAATGATATATAGTTTGTCATGATTACATTAGGATTTAATTGTAATATAGTGAAGTAAACTTAGGCGTCCCGTGACAGTTAAGGGGTTTAAAGAAGGTTGTAGTTCTCTCACAATTCTGAAGAAAAATATTAGACAACTAAACAAAATCTCATGGAATTTATGAATGGAATGATTCAATGATTTACTTGTTTTATTACTGGATGAATCAGTGTTTTTGAATGAATCTCTTGAATGAATGATTCAAAAACAGCCACTTTTCACCACCTAAAAAAAGATGCACACACAGGAATTGATAGGTGGGATTGAAATTTTAATTTTACAACAAGTATCCGATTCTGGAATTGATTTTCGATTCCCAACCCTATTCATGACCGCTTTAATAGAGTGCATTTATTCCAGAATAAAACTCACTTTTTGTGCTTTTCCTTGTGGACTGACCTCCACCGGCTCAAACACACAAATAATGTTTCCGTACGATGCTGCGATCTGAAAACAGAGCAGATTTAGAGAGTCTGCACAGTAACAATCCTGTTCGGATGCTCTTGCTGAATCCTAAAAACTTTCCCAGATCACTTCAAACGCTTTTTTTCAGAAAGGTTCCCACGCTCGCACAATGAGCTGGTAACGTGAGCACACTATGGGTGGATGGTTTTAATTAAGGGCAAGCGAGAGAGCATTTCAAAACTCTTTAGGTCCAGGAACAGTTTGTGTGTGTGTGTGTGTGTGAGTGTGTGAGTGTGTGAGTGTGTGTGTGAGTGTGTGTGTGAGTGTGTGTCACAAATCGGTGATCAATCAGACTGTTATAAACAGATCTTGATGTGAAAATGATACCGTAAGCATTAATTACTGCTGCTCATGTCTTAATGTATCATACATGACAGCTGACGAACAGTATTTACTACACAAGTCTCAAATCACTGGTGTTGAACTTAAGAAGGGAATCATAGACATATCCCAATATCCCATTTTCATACTTTACTCTTCTAAACTGGCCTGTTATCTATAATAAACTATAAACAAGCTCAAAAGAGTTCACATATGTTGGCTGTTCAGTATTCATTACTCATTCAAGATCAACATAATTAGCCAGAGCAAGACGCTCAGCGTATCCGAGAACACACTTCACACCCTAATGATAAATAATATTTATACAGCCTTACGCAATATGTTTACTTTTCTGGATACCTGGAAAGTTCTGGAAAATGTAATGGTTAAAGTATGGTTTTAGTAATAAAAAAGCATTTCTAATTAATTGGAATATATTCAATTTAACAAAAATGTATTAAAAGTTTAACAAAAATGTAATTTTTAGGGACTTATGAAATCCATTTTATTTTTTTCCCCAAATCCTATTTAATTTTTTTCTAAATTTCATGTTTTTCATTTACATGTTTCTGAATTCTGTTTTATTAGTTTATTAGTTGAATTGAAATGAATAGTTAATTGAAATCATGAAATGTATATACAATTTAACCATTTTTTAAACGTTTAACAAAAAATTTATTTTTAGGGCCCTATGAAATTCACATTATTTATTATATTCTCACATTTTCCTGTAATCTGTTTAAGTGCTGTACAAATGTATTTATTTATTTATTCTGTGCGGTCTATTTTATTTTTTTTATTTAGTACAAATGTGTTATCAAAAAGGGTGGTAATCTAATTAAGGCATAAAACATTATAAAACTGAATTCATCTTTGAAAATGTGTTCAAATGAAGATTTAACCATTCTTCATAATTTAACCAAGATTTTTTTGGTAAACAACAAAATAGAAACACACTACTAATTAACACACAGACGTCACATTTAAATAGCAGTCTTTTGTGCTTTCGTTTTCACAGAAACTTACTTAAGTGCATTTTTCTTAAGTGCACAGGACTACTTTTGATGTATTCATCCAAATTTTGCCAAATGAGTCCCTGAGAAGCAAACCCAGGACCTTGGTCTTGCTGTTATGGTGTTGCTCTAATGTCTGCGCTACAGGAATGTGACACTAGATATAGGCCTGTCCCACGAGCCCCGGACACACGGACAAAACAAGATCAGTAGCACAAACACACACACAGTCTGATACTGATAACCACAGTGAGTTCTACATATCATCTATAATGTGGAGCAGGGAGTGCAGGACAATATATATTTTCATTTCATGTTTGAGTGGATCGAAAACATGCAAAACACACATTTAAGTGTTTATTTTATTGCACATCTATTTGCGTCTGAAGATTTCAATCTTTAAAGAGTTTTTCTCTTCACAGTTTTACTCCTCTCTATATTCTGTAGGTTTGTTCATATTTCATTCACACTGATTTCTACAACATTTCACTCATAAAAACGTGGTGAAAATGTGTTTGATTTCTGTCTGTTGACAGTATTTTCTGATTTATGGAGTTATAAAAAGAGAAATCCAAAATTCCGTCTGGAAAAAAACTTTAATTCTAATACGACAACAAAATCAAACTAGATTTATGAACCTGGATTAATCCAATGTTCGGATTTCTGATCTGCAAATGTCTGCAAATTATTGCACAGTTAATCTGATACTGAGGACCACAGTGAGCATCTGGGCAATTTTTCAGATTTTATCAATGAATCCTAATGTAATGTTTTGCTATATATTTTTTTTTAAATCGAGGAATCACATTTTTAAATGTTTTCATTTACTGTTAATAATCGCTGCTGCTGCTGTTACACTGATAGTCAGGAAGAGTTATAAAATATTTAGCATTTTTATTTGACATTATTTCTGAACATATCAGACAATATTTGCCTTCATATTTCATGCATCTTTTCTGCAAAGATATTTAGCAACTGAATTTGTTTTGCATGTACAGCATGCTGAACTTCATGTGAACAGAACTTTCTTTAACCAGATGGTTCATAAAGAGAACGTTACGTTTTAAACTGACTAGTTAATCATTAAAAAAAATCAAAATAGAAATCTTGCATTGGTCAGATGTTCTGCTATGTTGTGCCGTATCGCTCAGGTTTACCGTGAAGGGCTGGTTGTTGACGCGGCCCACAGAGAAGCAGTTGTCTCCGGGGTTGACGGCTCCTGTGAGCACCTGGTGCAGGTTCATGCTTCTTGGCACACTTGAGTTTCAGCACGAACCCCTGCAAACAGATGGAGAATCAGTGACTGCTAGTGTTGGGCGATATGCTCAATTTTCATATCGTCAGCCTGTGAGATCGCCGATACACGATATTATCGTGCTAATTGATTGAATTATTTATTTACCTAAAATAAAAGCAGCCTAATTTTTCTAATATGACTGAATTTGAATATTTAACATCAAAAAAAATTATTAGAAACATCGTAAGTTACTAATTATAATGCTTACATTTCGTCAGTTATTCAAAAAGCAGCTACAGAAAATGAGCAAAGAACATTACATTACCAAAGAACATCATCACTCAGTCTAGCGCGAGTATATGCACTTTAAAAACACTCCCGTTAAACTCAGTGAATCTACACTGTATGATGAATAAATCTCTTACACTTACATAGCCTACATCGCACATGCTTCTGCTTTATGATGAGAGAATTGGCGAGTCAGAAATCAGTCAGAGCGTGCTTAAAAATAAACTGTTTCAGCGGTGAGTCATCTGAACGCCTCTGATTGGCCGCTGCATTCATAAGCTCAGCATAATTGTGTGTGATTGGTTATAACGCGCAATACTGTAAAACGCGGAAAAAGAAATACAATGCAACAAATAAGCCCTAATATTAATTAGAGAGTATTAGTAGCCTGATAATAATACATCAGCCACAGGCGATATCTCGGACTATCATCGATACACGATACTTTCGTCTATCAGCACAACCGACTGACAGGTGTCAGCAGAAACACACAGCACTGATCACACACACACACACACACACTCACTCACTCACTCACTCACTCAC